CTCGCACTGACGGTGCACGGACACGTGTGCTCGCCGGAGGTTTCCGCACGCTGCCCCCCGCCCGGGGGCCCTGCCTGACAGGCTGCTCACACACAGCTTTCAAGAACCTTCTACAGCCTCTAGGCCACCCACAGGCAGTGGCAGACATGGCCTGCCTTGGAGGCCAGCTGTGCCCCGCCTCCCCCCCACACACACACATTTGGTCAAATATTTTTATTTATTTATCTTTTTAATGTTTTTATTGATTTCAGAGAGGAAGGGAGAGGGAGAGAGAGAGAGAAACATCAATGATGAGAGAATCACCAATCGTCTGCCTCCTGCACACCCCCTACTGGGGATCAAGCCTGCAACCCGGGCATGTGCTCTTGGCCGGAATCGAACCTGGGACCCTTCAGTCTACAGGTCAGCGCTCTATCCACTGAGCCAAACCAGCTAGATCTGGTCAAATATTTTTAAAAGTTCCCATTCCACTCTTAGCAGGAAAATTGCTAGATTGCAAGTAAATTACATTTACAGGCAGGTTCAGCCTCAAATGCTGTTGGTTGCCACACACACAGAAAACAAAACCGCCTGTAACCTTTATGCACCTGACAACGCAGCCAGTGCTCTGCGGCAGGGCCCTGTGGGCGGGCGGTGGCCCCCCAGGGCTGGCCACGGGGCTCAGTGTGGAAGACACTCCACACTAGGACTGTCCCGCCCAGCGCAGTGCTCCCTTAGCAGCTGTGAGGCGGGCAGCCTTGAGGGAGTTCGCCTCACTCCCAAGGGCTGGGGCAGGAGGGCTCTCGCTGCCGATTCCCTTCACTGCATTCTTTTCTGAAGCTTTAGATATTTTAGAAACATGAACAGGTATTACTTTTTAAATAAAGAGAGACAGGTAGGAATGAAGCAGCCCAAACTAACAAGTGTCCCCTCTGCTTGCTCCCTGCGGGCACGAGGGCCCCAGCCAGACATGCAGGCGGTCGGGCTCATGGGCTTTGGGCATTAACGGGGCTTAATGAACGCAGCAGCCTTGGGAGAACAGCCCTTCCAGCCCGGCCTCTGTGGGGCAGCGTGACATGCCCAGAAGGGACCAGGAGTCCTCATCTGAGAAGCCCAGCTGGTCCCAGCCCACTGTGTCTCTGAGGGAGAGCGGGGCTCAAGCCCTGGACCCGCCACCCTGTGCCTCCCAGGACTGGCACCCTGTGGAGGGTGGGATTTCGCCAGGACCCTTGTCAAAGGTCTTGAAAAGATGACTATTGAGCGCACCTTCCCAGGCAGCTGAGGTTCGCCAGGCTTGCAAACAGCTGAGGGGTGTGGGTGGCACCCCCAGGACTGCCCATGGCACCCTGAACCACGTGGATGGGGTGGCACCAGCTTATGGCTCCCTCCTTAGATTCAGCACGGCCTCCCCTGGTGCCGGGGCAGCGCAGGCTTTGCCGTGCGCTCTCAGCTGAGCCCTGCAGACAGCCCGCGCCAGGCCTGTGAGCAGCATCAGCCCCTCCTGGTTACTCATCAGCCTGCTTCCCCTCACCCGCTCCTCCCCACCCCCACCCGCCCAGCCTGCAGCCTCCTGGGCCACTGAGCACTGCTGTAATGACAGTCCTGCCTTCTAAGCTTTTTGCACTTGCTCATCCACAATCACAACAGGAACCACCATCTTCCAGATGAGGAACCCCGGGCCCAGAGAAGGCCAGAGGCTGTGCTGTGAGCAAGGACCTTCCTTGGCTCACTCTGTGGGTGGAGACCCCGCTTCCAACCATAACATGGACATGTTCGCTCAGGGGACTGGAGAGGCAACGATGCTGCAGAGGAGGGAGAGGGTGCTGACCAGGGAAGGGCATGTTTCTGGTCCTTTTTGGGTTGCAGACAGGAGGATGGGGACAACCCCAGCTGGAAACGCCAGGCCCCAGAGATCTCTCCTCCGAAGAAAGAAGCGGCCGAGGTCTGCAGCAGGCTCGGCGCGGGGCGCCCTGACATCCCCAGGGCAGTGACCAATTCTCCCCAGACCCCAATCTCGCAGCTCCGTCCCCACTCCAGCCGTGCGGTGCCCTCTGCTGCCCTCTGGTGGCCAAGCACCAGCCCGGGGCCGGGAAGGGGCCGGCGCTGTGGCTGCTTTCAGGTCTGACAGGTGAGGTGCCCGAGCAGGGCACCTGGTAAGTACCCGCCATGGCGCGGCTGCGATTCCGGGAGCGCCATTGTTCTCGGGGGAAACTGAGGCCCAAAGAACGTGTGTGCGTGTGTGGATTGGTCCCTTCCCCAAGTCACAGGGGGTTAGGGCACAGCCGGCCGCAAACCTGATCAAAGCGCGTCCCTAGCCGAGCAGGGTTCCGGGCTCCGCTTCTCACCGCCCCCAGCGCGGGAGGAGCAGGCTGCGGCGGGGAGGTCACTGGAG